GGCCGCCACCTGGACCGCAGCGGGCCCAAAGCGCCGTGGGCGCCGCTGGCCACGCGTGCCCAGCCGTGACCACTGTCCTCTGCGCTTGGGCCAGACCCAGCAGCCCCAGTCCTCGGTGGGCACGTGTGCCGGGCAGAGGCTGCCAAGGGCCAGCTGGGGACTCGGGTGGGCCCCGCCTCATCTCCCGCCTCATCTCCCGCGGCCCCGCCGCCCCAGGGGCGACTCCTTGTTTCCTCAGCTTGGGGGTTTGGTTCAGGGAAGAAGCTGCAGAAAGAGCAGGCTGGGGTGTAGGGCTGTGCTTGGTGCTGCAGAGGAGGTGTGGGGACCGGCACCCCAGGGTGCCAGTCCAGGGGGCGCCTGGCTGTAGCTGGGGAGGGTGGGCGTGGCCCGGGCGGGCCAGGGGGCGGGGCATGGATCCCCCCAGAAGGGGGGGCTGGCGGGCCGAGGGGCTGAGGGTCAGCGGAGGTGGTGAGGGGGAGTCGGTGGCAGTTGGGAATTAGCGCGCCCTGGGTGGGCGGCGCGTGGGAATGGCCTGCGTGTCTTTGGCAGAGCGCTTTGACCCACGGCGCCGGGAATCACGAAAACAGGCGCCTGGGAGGGGAGGCTCCTCCCCGCTCTGAGGTTGGGGGGGGCCGCGGCCCGGCGGGAAGGAGCCCCTACGCAGCCTGGACGTGGGCTCTCGGGGGGTGCGCTCCCAGTTTGGCCCCAGAGGCTGGGGTGGCCCTAGCTCGTGGGGCCCAGATGCAGCTGCTCTGCTTGGCTGAGCCGTGTCCCCCTGGATCCACACCCCGGGGCCACCCTGGGACCCCCGCACTGGGGCGACCCTCGAAGGGGAGGGGATCGGTGCCCTGCCCAGGGCACCCTCGGGAGGGCGGGCAGAGGGGGGGTGCTGAGGCCGAGGCCTGCCAGCAGCCCCGCGCTCCCCTGCTCCGGGCAGGCTGGGGGAGCCTGAGTCTCTGTGGGTGGGCTCTGTCCTTCCTCCCCGTGGGCCCCCGGGCCTGTCCTCAGTGGGCGGCCTGGGTGGTCCACTGCTGCCGCTTCCCCGTGGCCCCCCCCACGGTCAGACTGCAGACTCGCCCCCAGGGCCGCCGGCACCCTCTGCCTCCGGGCGCAGGAGCTGGACAGTCACATGGCCTTTAAGCAGCCCTGTTTCCCATGGACGCTGCGCGGTCACGGGTCCTCAGGCCCCGGCCTCTGCTTTGGCCGGAGCAGGTGGGCCCCGTAGTGTCGCGGGTGGGGGAGGGGAAAGGGCCCTGCGGGTGGGACGTGGGTGGGTCGTGGTGGGAGGCGGGTGGGAGGTGGCTCTCCCCTGCTGGGCGCTGACCTGCGCTCCGGAGGAGCTGGGAGTGGGGAGCTGGGAGTGGGGGGCACGGCCCCACAGCGGCAGCGGGCGGCACCT